GAGGGCTCTGGATATTTTGCATCGCGGTCTGTGGACGGACCCTGTGAGGTCCCTTTGGGCCAGCAAAAAGCGTCATCGTGGTGTTCAAAAAGCTGTCAAAGAGATATTCTGCAGGTCGTATGTCACGGCCAAGCGTTTACATGATTGGAAGTACGAGATCCCTCCAGTGTGCCCTTTTTGCAGATCCCCAGAGGGAGGAGTCGAGGACACAGTTTGGCACCGCTGCTTTGTCTGTCCAGGACTCGCTGACAGGCGAGATGAGGCATTGAGTGCCGATGTTGTTCGGCTAGCTGTTGAAGCTGGCCCAGACGATCCTCTCTACTCCAGCCTGTGGGACGCCCAGCCCGAGGGCATTCAGGATGCCTTGTGGGATGGTGTGGTTCGATATTTCGACAGGTCGGGGGAAACAACCAAGTTCACGTTCAACCGGTGCGAAAATCTGTATTCGGACGGTAGTTGCTATTCCCCCACCCATATTCATGTGGCCCGTGCGGGCTGGGCCGTCATCCAAATAGACGACGCAGGGGACTTCGTTAGAGCTGTGTGTGGTAACCTGCCTGGTTTCCTGCCGCAGAGTGCTGTGTTCGCCGAGCACTACGCTCTGCTTCAGGCCCTGGAGCATTTTGAACATACTGGTGAGGACGAGCCGTTCAGGCTGAACGTGGATTGCCAGGCCCTTTTTGCAGGCCCTCGAGATCAGAGGGCATCGACGAGCGGGAGAACACCGCTCAGTGAAGTGTGGAAAGTGCTCTACTCCTCGCCCCGCCCGCCTTTCGTGTTGAACAAGGTTAAATCTCATGTGGGGGATGAAGTGATTGGTATGGCTCGGGTTCACAAGCGTGGAAACGATTATGCCGACGAGTATGCTAAGGACGGGGCCAAAATGCACCCTGAGATGGCCCAGAACATTGTCAAGTACGAGCTGGCTCTGAGTAGTTGGGAAGTCTTGGCAGTAGGCATGGGCACTATTTTAGACAGCCTTCCAGAGGCAAGATCTCTTTTCGGTAAGCTAGAGCGCGCCCCGAGAGTCCCCAGGCCCTTGGTCCTCCCCAGCGGCCTGAGGGCTCATCGTGTGCGCTGGAACGGGTGTAGGTGGCGTTGCCTCGAGTGCGCCCGTGCGTTTGATTCTAAGAATCCTAGGGGGTCCTGCGCGGCTTTAACCCCCTCTATGCGGTCTTTAATTAATCAGGTCGACAACCCCAAGCCCCACACACTGCATGTCGCCAAAATTGTTCAATCTTCTCTGCCAGTGGTGTTGTGCCTTAGGTGTGGGGCGTATTGTACTGGGGCCCCTCGTCAGCTGCTGAAACCCTGTGGTAAAGTATTTGCACAGCAGAGGAGACAGCTTCTGAGAGGCGACCTTCCCTGGCCGCGGGGACAGAATATCACAAGCCCTTGGCCACTCAGCCTCGCGCCTCATGAGGAGGCGGAGTGGTGGACCAAGCTATTTTGATGTGTTGTTAGATCTTCTCTTTGTGTTCGCCCTGTCGTGCGTTCTTTGCCACTGCCTGCGGGCGGTGTGGGGGCAGCCAGGCACCTGGGCCACTGCCCTGTGCCTGCATGGCGGTCCTGGCCTTCGGGCTCCGCCCTGCAGGTGCTGGGTAGTGGTGGTCGGTGGTGTTTGGGGGCCCCTCTGCAGCCCCTTCGGTCGTAGATTGGTGGGTGCTAAGCGAGAGCCACTGGAAAACAAGGAGAAGAAGGACGGAGAGTTGGGTACTTCGGGGGTCCTCTTGAGGTTTCGTATGCGGTCTCTCGGGATCCTCTTAGAGGCCTCTTGGGTCCGTCCGGGCGCCTCTTAGAGCCCTCGTGGGACGCCCTTGGAAGCTTCAGGGGCTTTCTTGGAGCCATCTTGGAGGACATCGATCAAAACAGATGAGAGCTCCAATTAGCCTCCCCCCATCGGGAGCACCGAGAATCGCCTCCTGGACCCCTCTCGGAACGCTCTTTGGGCGCTTTGGGGGCCATCTTGGGGCTCTCTTGGGCCTCTCCTGGGGCTCTCATGGGCCATCTTGGAGCCATCTTGATGCTCCGGATGGCCATCGGAAGCGCAAAGGGGAGAAACCACAAATCATCGATTTGCCTTAGGTTGTTGGAGGATTTGGGTTTCTTGGGGCCCCCCTCGGAGATTTCGGATGCCTTTTGGAACAGTTTTGGAGCGTTGTTGGGGCCTTTTGGAGCATCTTGGGCGCCGTATTGGGGCATCGTGCGCTATCTTGAGTCTTCTTGGAGCTCATCTGGGACTCGCAGGGGCCCTTTTGGAGCCGTCTTGTGTCATGTTGGACGCTCCAACGCCTCGCCGCCCCCCCTTATCGTCCAGGTCCAGGGAAGGGGGTATGGGGGAGGGTCAAGCTACCCACCCGCCCGCAAGCCATCTAGCTCACTCCCACCCGCCCTCCCAACACATGAGTAACACCCAAGCCCGAGCATGTTCAGCGGTCGTCTTAGGATGGACAGATACTGGGAACCGAAGCCGACCCCAGGAGCGCGACGCTTGGGCGAGATGCGCCACGCGTACCAGGGGCGTCAAGCGCGCCAAGCACCCTTGGGGCCCGAACGTGCCAGGCACGCCTGGTGTGCCAGATGCGCCACGTACTCCGAGTGCGCCAGGTGTGCCGCACACTCCAGCCGCGCCAGGTGCGCCACGTTCGGGGCACGTGCAGAGTGCGTCGAGTCCGCCTGCTGCGCACGTGACGGCACACATCGGGAGACATATCGGCCCGCGCCATCTTGGTCGAAAACCAATGCCCATCATTGTGTTTGGTGGGCCTGCGCACAGCAGGCCACGCGCCACCCCACCCCCGCCGTCCTGGTCAAAACAACTTGACAGTGATCGTGGGATGATCGCGCATGATCCAGATTTCGCTGCGAGGTGCATGTTGTAGTGGTCTTTGTCAGGGATGGTAGCCATGCGCACAGCAGGGGATCTGCTGACACTCCCGCCGTCCCTGTCAAAAGCCATACACAGTGCTCGCGTGCCTCACGAACATGACTCAAGAATATGCCCCAAAGTGTACTTTGCAATATCTTTTGACAAGGATGGTGGGTAGAGGGCCGCATCGGGTTGGCCGCGCATGCTCCACATGTGGAGGCAGAGTGCGGTTTGTATTGTTGTTTGATTTTGGCAGGGATGGTGCGGGGCGGGCCCTCATGGGGCTGGCATGGTGTATGTGTATCCCGAAGGGGAAGGAGGGGTTGGAAGATTGGAAGAGGAAACGCCCTAGACTACCTACGCCCCGAGGGCTGGTGGGATTTGTTTCTGGACAGGTCGCACGAGCCAGAGCGCACCCCGACGCTGGCCCGAACAGCTACCGCCTCTGCTGCCTTCTTGAGCACGTCGATGAAAGCGTGCAGGGCATCCTTCGTCGCTGGCGATGCTGTTTGGTGCGACGGCGCACTCTGCATGGTGGCTGGTTGCGCATCGCTTGACTCTGCGTTCGCCGTTCTCTGCGACGATAAGGCTTGAGTCGAGCAGGTGTCGGCGGCCGCTTCTTGCTGGAAGCACGGTTCTGGACATGAATCGTCGTTGTTGCACATGGTTAATTGTGTGCGAAGTGAATTTGGCCTCAGGATGTTTCTGGGAAGATGACACCGTCGTCGTGTTTGATTGGTGACGGCCCGAATGTGCCTCCATATCCTTGAAGCGTTTCTCGGCTTGCCCGCGGCGGTGGGCCTTCCGTCTCTGGAGGGCTTACCGCTCGACAGCAGTTGGTTGACTGCTGCCTGCATCACGCGCCCTTCGCCGCCTTCCACCCATCCCTTCCTGGGCCCCAGCCCCCCTCCTCCCCCCCTTTCTCCTCTGAGCTTGCCCCCCCTTTCTCCCCCCTTCGCTCTTATCCCCCTTCGCAGCAAGATTATCAAATTGCGTTTATATCTGATTAATGTTGAGTCAAGCAAGGGGGCAGCGTGTATGTTTTTTATATACGTCAAGAAAGAAACCTGTAAGTTAAGCTGCGTGAGCAAACAACGATTTGCGCTGTGAGTGACGCGCGCCCTCTATCATTAGCATAAGCTAGACAAAGAGGAGCGACCATTGCAGCAAGAACCTGAAGCGCGGGGATTATCGTAAATTCGCGTGCTGGAGGTCCTCGATGCTCTCTGAAGTCTTCGCCGGCGACCGACGGCAACGAGTCATTGCCCACGGTTTCGCAGACGTTCGCTGTTTGTTTGGCTTGTTGCTTCTTTTTGTGATGAGCTGCACCTCGCCGACAGCCTTCTTAGGGGGGCCCGGTCCCGAACGGCCCTGGAGGCCCGAGGCTTGGCCCGAACGCAGACCTGCCACGCAATAAGCAGCAGAGCTATGTGGAGGGCTGTCCCCGCGTTCCTCTCCCGGGGCCCCCGCCGGGCCTCGGAACAATTGGCCCTGGGGAAAAAATCCAAATTTCCAGAGGCCCCTGTCCTGAAAAGGCAGCTCTCCGAGGTTTCCAATCCTTCTCGGAGCGGCCGCGCTTCAAACTTGGAGCGATTGCCTCTTGTAAGCCGCTTGGGGAGTCTCGGGGCCATCTTGGACAGTCCCTGGCCCGCCGACCGCACTTCGGCCGCCCGCGTGTTGGATCTCCCGGCTGGCAGGAGGAGGGGGGGAGGGGAGGGAGGACGAGGGAAAACGCCTTGATATTGTGTTCGGCCTGGCCTCGCCTAGATCGAAGAAGACAGGTGGGCACGCACACATTGTAATGGTCGGAAGTCCGCGCGGAATTCTTGGATCGCGCAGAGCGTGCCAGAGGCGGCGCTGGCGGCGCCGCCAAATGGGCCTAGCGCCGACCCAAGAAGTCCGCGCGGACATCCGAAAATCGATGTTGGTGAGACTTGTTTTTGTTTCCTGGGGGGTATGCACGATTCGCGGACCGGCTCGATTCACTGGCATCTGCCGGGGCCAACCACAGCTGGGCGCGGCGATCCGATTTCGATTCGATTCGGGACATTCGTTGGCCATTCGATCAGTCCCCGATCCGTTCCGATTTCGCGATTCGATTTGGCTCATTGCCTGCCTGTCGTGCCCTCAGGAGTACGTCGAGAAACTGGAAAAGAATGGCGTCCGGGCCCTCTTCATCACCGTGGACGCTCCCCAACTCGGGCGGCGCGAGAAGGAGCCGCCGGTCCGCCCGACGGCTGCCCACGGCATCGTCGTGGATTGCGCTGCCGCGGTGCTTCGGGTGAGCGGGGGCCACAGATCGATGCTGAGGACAGGACCGTTTCGGACTAATGAGGGGCTGAGGTTTTCGGGCCGTTCCTCTGATCGAGGTCGGGAAACGTATGTCCGAGGCGGGAATTTACCCATTGGCGCCGCTTAGAGTGTCGACCTTCAGGGACCTCGGCTGGCGGTGTATATGGAAGTATTCTGGCCGTGGGGAGGGGCAAACATGTCCATGTCGGCGGTCTCCGAAGAACGATCCCCCGGGCGCTGGTCATGGATAAATCCCCGCCTCGCATTATCCGGGGAAAGAGAAAGCGGATGCAAAGTGAAGACGCTGAAGTGAGGGCCGCTTGGGGTTGGGGAGGGTTTACCTATTCGTGGCCGCTACTCGCCGTATCGCGCGTTGTTGATGGAAGAAGAAGAAGAAGAAGATGAATAATAAACAGAAGAACACGATGATTTCCAAAGACTGGATCCCAGAGCTCTGACGACTTGATCTTTTCGATCCTGGCGTGTTTCCTCGACTTCGGCCTGAAGGGCCCGTCAGCTGGGCTCCAGGGCTATCAAGTATGGATCCAGGACGAAAAAATACCCCCTGAGAAGGGGTTGGGATTTTAGGATCGCGCATTGTGATCGTTGGGTGTATGGGCAGAGCGTTGAGTCCTCTCCGTTCTTCTTGTGTTCCCCCCCCCTGTCATTCGTCCCGTTCGTTTTCGTACTCGCTTCTCGCCCTGGCCTCCCCTCGTCGCTTCGTCCCTGTCCTCGCTTCTCCTTCGCTGTCCTTGGGATGTGGTTTTCAAGTGTCGGTCGTGGTAAGCTCCGCCACTCGGTCGGCCGACATTGCGCGTCTCCTAGGCTGCACGAAAGAGAGGCCTAGAAGAAGAGGAGCATCCTTCTTCCCTCTTCTTCCTCCTAGAGGAAGAAGAGGAAGACGACTTCATCTTATCCTCTTCTTCGTCTTTTTGTTCCTCTTCATCCTCTTCTTCCCCCTTCTTCTTCCTCTTAGAGGAAGAAGAAGGAGGAGAAGGAGGATCGCAGGAGGGTTCAGTCTAGACACCGGCGACCCTCCCCGGCGGTGCCTGTCCTTCTAGCGCCTCCTAGAGGCTGCCCATCGCCACGGCCGGACTCGCCTGAGACAGCAGGAGAGCGGCGCAACAGAAATTGGGGTCGTCTTCGGCGACCTTCGCGCGTGGGCGGTCCGCGCAATGGTCGCGCGCATCGGCGGCGAGCGAGGGGGGGAAGTGAGAAGGAGGAGGCCTTCTCAGAGGGCGGCGGGACTTCTCAGAAACCCTCGCGCCTCCTGAGAGTTTCTGTTCTGTCTCCAGGGGAGGCTTAGAAAACTCCTCGGAAGGCCAGCGGACTTCCGAGCCCTCTGAGAAGGCCCGCCCCTTCTCACTTCCCCCCCTCGCTCGCCGCCGAGCGTAAGAGCCCTCGTCTCCAGTGTGGCGTGCCACAGTGGTGGCCCGCGTAAGCCCTCCGTGGAAGGTCGCCCTGTCAGCTCGCGTAAAACCCCGTCCTTTGCGTCGTTCAGGTCAGGACAGGCCCCAGTATAGGCCTGGGAAACGACTTTGAGCGGATTTACGGGTTGGAGAGCCGCCGTTGTTTCAATTTGCTTTTTTAAAAAACATAGAACCATCTTGATTTATACATTGTATTCATATATATATATATATATACATATACAGATGTGTGTATAAATACATAGAGTTTCGGAGGTCCGCGCGGACCTCTTGGATCGTCGCCCGATCTCTTGGATCTGGCGCCGCCCCTGGTGCGTTCAACGGACTGCTCGCGGCCCTCCGAAAAGATTATGTTCATGCTTTTGTTTGTCCTATGATTAATGCCGTGAGGGGCAACGTCAGGGGGGATAGGCTTAGGGGGTGGTGCATCGACCCCGAATCGCCCATCGATCGCCATAGGGGCCTGATAGCCCACCCAGCCCAGAAACGCTCGGATTCGCTATCGGGGCCCATCGCCGATCGATCGGCGATGCACCGCCGATTCCAGGTCGATGTTCCCCCCTGGGCCAGTTCTGCCTGACGTTGCCCCTCAGCCCGGCGGAAAAGTCATGCGCCCTCTCGGGCGTATTTCTGACTCCGGCGGCCGCGTCATTCTGGGCGGCTGGTGGGTCACGGCTGCTCCTGTGCCTTCTGGGCAGGGAGCCCTCACCATGCAGGCCTACGAGGACGATAAACTGCTCCAGAGCGGGAACGCTCTCACAGCGCTCTGAAACTGCCACGGCGCCCGTTACGTCCTCCAGATCCGCCAGCTCTCAGAGGTTCCTGGCTTACCTCGGCTCCAGTGTTTATCCATGTTGCCTCTGTATTACCTCGGTGTTCGACCATGGACCCCGAACTCAACCATCCAGCTCTCTCGTCGAAGACCACCCAATTCCGCCCAAGGTTGGGTAAGTAACATAGTGATTAACAAAGGTCCACGATGGAAAACGTCGCCTCAGGGGGCCCGAATCAGACCAGAAGGATAAAGGATACAATCCAGGGTCGCCCAGGTCTGGTCAAGGAGGCGCTCTCTCTCTCTCTCGGGCCCTCGTTGGTCCTCGTGCGCGCAGCCCTCGTGGGCCTCGCAGGAGGTGCCCCCCCTGGTGGTGATCGTGTCGTTTCTCCCTCTCCCGACGGAGTCCTCTGGCCCTTCTCGGTCCCTCCGGCCCCCTCGGCCCCTCTCCCTCCCCCGATGGAGCCCTCCGGCCCCCTGGGTCATCCAGGCCCCTCGGTCCCTTAGGTCCCCCTCACTCCGCTCCCGTGGGCCCCCACGCTCGCAGCCCGCCGCGCAGGCCCAACCAGCTCAGCCCAGCCAGATCTACTTCCCTTCCCTGGCGGCGCGCGCAAGGGGGTGGCGCGGCCAGGGATGATGATGATGATGATGATGATGATGATGATGATGATGATGATGATGATGATGATGATGATGATGGTGATGATGATGATGATGATGATGATTGTGATGGTGATGATGATGGTGATGGTGATGGTGATGGTGATGATGGTGATGGTGATGGTGATGGTGATGGTGATGGTGATGATGGTGATGGTGATGGTGATGGTGATGGTGATGGTGATTGTGATGGTGATGGTGATGATGGTGATGGTGATGGTGATGGTGATGGTGATGGTGATGGTGATGGTGATGGTGATGGTGATGGTGATGGTGATGGTGGTGATGATGGTGGTGGTGATGGTGATGGTGATTGTGATGGTGATGGTGATGGTGGTTGTGATGGTGATGGTGGTGATGGTGATGGCGATAGTGATGGTGATGGTGATGGTGAGGATGATGGTGATGATGATGGTGGTGGTGATGGTGATGGTGATGATGTTGATGATGGTGGTGATGATGATCATGATGATGATCATGATGATGATCATGATGAGGTGATGGTGTGGTGATGGTGATGTCGATGGTGATGGTGATGATGAGAATGATGATGATGATGATGGACGATGGTGATGATGATGAGGAGAAGGAAGAGGAGGAGGATGACGATCAGGATGAGGATGAGGAGGATAATGAGGTTGGTGATGCTGTTGATGATGCTGATGCTGATGTTGATGGTGATGCTGGAAGACGATGACAACGATGACGTCGAAGAAGACGACGATGCTAATGATGGTGATGAGAAGGATGATGATGATGACGAGGATGCTGATGAGGATGGTGATGATGATGGTGATACTGATGGTGATGGTGATGGTGATGCGTATGATGATTGTAATGAAGATGATGATGAAGATGGTAGTGATGGTGATGCTGATGATGGTAATAATGGTGATTATGATGATGGTGATGATGATACTTGTGCTGGTGGTGATAATGATGATGTTGATGATTGTAATGGTGTTTGTGATGGTGTTGGTGATGGCCACAATGATGATGATGATGGTGATGGTGATGGTGGTGATGGTGGTGATGATGATGGTGGTGATGATGATGGTGTTGATGATGGTTGTGGTGGTGACTGTGACGGTGATGGTGATGATGATGATTATGGTGATGATGGTGTTGTCGGTGATTATCCTACTGATGGTGATGAACGGGGGTGGTGGTGGTTCTTGTGATAATGATGATGCTGATGGTGATGGTGATGATAATGCTGAGTTCTGATGGTGATGGCGATGCTGATGATGGTGATGATGATGATTGTGATGATGCGTGTAATGGTGATGATGGGGATGCTGATGGTGATGATGGTGATGACAGTAATGACGATGACGATGGCGATGATCATGGTAATCCTGATGAACATGATGATGATGATGGTGGTGGTAATGAAGACGATGGTTGTGGTGGTGATGATGGCAACTGTGATGGCGACAATGGTGGTGATGATGATGAGGATGATGAGGATGAGGATGAGGATGAGGATGATGGAGATGATGATTACAATGGTGATGCTGGTGGTAATCATGGTGATGCCGGCTGTGTTGGCGATGAGTATGATAATGATGTTGATGATGATGTTGATGTTGTTGATGATGATGCTGAATGTGATGGTGATTGTGATGAGGGTACTGGCGATGGTGATGTTGTTGATGATGATTGTGGTAATGGTAATGGTGATCATGCTGGTGATGGCGATGATGAGGATACTGATGTTTAGGGTGGTGCTGGTGATGATGCTGATGATGATCATGATGGTGGTGGTGGAGGGGTGGTGATGGTAGTGATGATGTCGATGGTTATGTTGATGTTTATGATGAGGATGATGATGATTGATCGTGGTGGTGATGGACGGCCTGAGAGAGCCCCCACATAATTCTAAGACACGCCCCGACAGCCCACGAAGACCCCAGTAGCCTCCAAGAGGACCCCGACAGGCCCCCAAAAGGCCCCCAGGACGCCCCAAGATAGCCCCAGATTGCCCCAACAGCCCCTGGGGTAGCCTCAAAAGATCACGAGGACCCCCCTTCTTCGACGTCCTTTTCCTCGGGCTCCTTACCGTCCTCATTAGTCGTCGACGTCGTCGTCCTCCTCCTCCTCCTTCTCCTCCTCTTCCTCCTCCTCCTTTTCGATCCTCCTCGTACTCGTCCTCCTTCATCTCTTCCTCCTCGTCCTCGTGTTTGTCTTCATACTCTTTGTCCTCCTGCTCGCATCGCTGCCCTCCCCGTCATCGACGCTGTCATCCTCGCCAGCCGCCGCCTTGTCGTTGCCATCATCCCTACGAACCCACCGGACAAAATCGGCGCTTCCCGTTCTTGTCCGATCAGGTTGCCGACGCGGACGTTGGCTCTGCAACGAGACCCTTCCTGCAAGGGCGCGGGCAGGTCCGTGCAGGCCAACCTCGCTGGCAGCGTCGGTTCGCACCGCGCTGGCACCGTTTGCCCGCTCTGCGTCAGGGCTGAACCTAAACGGTGTTTTTCGTTTTCGTCTTGTTTCCGTTTTCCCGCGTTTTGTCTTCAATCCGCCTTCAACGCAAAAGGACATCGAAACCAAAACGGCCCACGAAATGGCCAAAACACCGTTTATGTCCACCCCTCCTCTGGGTCACCCCCGTTCCCCGAGCCCGAGCGCCGCGCCCGCCGCAGGACATGCGCAACAAGTTCACCCAGCAGGGCTCCGACGTGCAGGGCGACGACGAGGACGAGGGCGAGGCCGCGCGTCTGCACGCGCACGTCCGCCCGCGGGCCCGCCCCTCCTCCCCGCCCTTCCTCTCCACAGACCTCCTCGCGTCGTAAACACAAGACGTACAGGAGAGGACGAGGAGGTGGGGGGGAGGAGGGGGGAGGGAGGAGACAGAGGATGATGAGGACGACGAGAAAAAGGAACCAGCAGCATGAGGGGGAGGACGGAGGAAGACGTAGGAGGACGAAGACGGAGGACCAGCAGCAGCAGGATGAGGTGCGGAGGAAAATGACGAGCTCCACGAGAGGGTGGTGGTGGTGGTGGCTGGCCATGAAGGCAGGTTAGAAGAAGTTCTCCTCGGAGGCCTCCGAGCCGTTGTCGGGGCCCCCGCCGCCGCGACCCTCTCCATCGCTCTCGGGGGGGGGGGGCGGCAGCTCCGAGGGACCGTGCTCCTCGGTGGCAACACCAACCGTGTCGCCCCTGCCGCCCTGCTGGGCGAGCCAGACCTCGAGCTTGCCCGCCCACCTCCCCTGCTCTTGACAAAGGGCCTTGAACCCTCTGATCAAGCTAGCGTGCTCTTCGGTGACTCCATGCACGAAGGTTCCTGCCTTAGCACAGCGGTCCGCGGCCTGGTTAGCTCGAAGCTCCCACCAGGTCGTCTTACCAGACTCCACGTCAGCACTGCCCGCGTGGGCAAGCGTTTTGAAAGCCTCCAAATATTCATTGGAAAACGCAGCCCAACACGGCGCCCACATGTGCCCGCTTGGGGCCCAAGTTTCGGTCCCCGTGCCTGGGCCCCCCGCAGAGAACATTGAGCGTCGGTTGGCAGTCAAGACACAGTTGGAACGGCCCCCTCCCGACATGCACCAACATGTGGATCTCGAAATCTTCGCCATCCTTGGATGTCTGGCGGGGGCCGAAGGACAGGGGCACAGGGCCATACGCTGCGTGCAACACATTGCCGAGCCTGTCCACTTGCACTATCGCCCAGCCCGCCCGACTGACTCCTTCGCTCGTCGGCTACATGGCCGAGCCGTCGCTGAAGATGCATCCCGTAAGGAAACCACACGCAGGCTTGTTCACCCACTTGACAGCCTCATCGGGGTCTTCGCGGGGCACAACTAGGGAGCGCACACCTAGCAAAACGCTCTCACGCCTCGACCCCCTGCTCAGGGGCTCTGGCAGCTCGCTCCCTCAGCCACGGCGAGACTCCGTCCCTCCTGAGACGTTCATGCGCCACGCACTCACACTGCCTATGCCAGAGCGTGCCACTACAAGCCTGACACAATCGACACACAGGCGACGCGTGCAGCCCATGTCCGTGCACCCTCAGCTCCATGAGAGAGGAGGAGGAGGAGGAGGAGGAGGAGGAGGAGGAGGAGGAGGAGGAGGAGGAGGAGGAGAGGAGGAGGAGGAGGAGGAGGAGGAGGGAGGAGGAGGAGGAGGAGGAGGAGGAGGAGGAGGAGGAGGAGGAGGAGGAGGAGGAGGAGGGAGGAGGAGGAGGAGGAGGAGGAGGAGGAGGAGGAGGAGAGGAGGAGGAGGAGGAGGAGGAGGAGGAGGAGGAGGAGGAGGAGGAGGAGGAGGAGGAGGAGGAGGAGGAGGAGGAGGGGGAGGGGGAGGGGGAGGGGGAGGGGGAGGGGGAGGGAGAGGAGGAGGAGGAGGAGGAGGAGGAGGAGGAGGAGGAGGAGGAGGAGGAGGAGGAGGAGGAGGAGTAGCATGATCTCCTTTTTGGGACTCCGAGCGGTTTCTCGTCGCCACGGCCGGATTGCCATCGAAATTCCAGCCGGGGCGAACCCCATGGCAGGTTTGGGGATTGATGCTTGGACGCCGAGCTGGGACCCCCAGAACGTGGACGACACAGATCTCTGAAGCTGTTGCTGGATGGTGTATGCCTTCCCGCCTCTCGATAATTGCCAGCAGCTGCGCCTCGCCGAGAGCGCTCGGGGGGCCCGAATTATGGCCGCCAGAGGCCCGAGTCTCGGCCTAAAGCCAAACCCTTGACGTCGCGCAAAAATCACGACGGCTGTTTTTGTTGAAAGGTTTTGGCATCTTGGGGAAGCGTCTCGGCGGGCCGTGGGGCCGTCAACCAATCAGCTCGGGATGACAGGTTGGTCTCAGGCAAGAGAGTCCAGACCTTCGTTGGGCGTTCGGTAGCGGGTGGCAACAAACGGGGGGGTGTCGAGAGGGTTGCAGGAAAGGGCCCCTGACAGGGCCCGAAACCGCAACCGCGGGCCTAAAAAGTGCTGGAAAGGTGCACGTGTCTTCACACCTCGTTTACGACCGGACCTGGGAAAGAAGAACGTCCTTCAAGAACGTGAGACCCTCCGCTGGCCCACCTGAAGAACCTTCGAGGGTGCCCTCCCCCAGGATACGTGAGAACATCCAACAAGCACCAAGAACAATCAGGGTACCCTCCCCGAACCGACCTGGACCTCGTATACCTCGGTCCGACCGCACTCCCCCCCCCGCTCACGAGCGCCCGACCAGGCCTGCGGGGGCCCACGCCGGGGGTGGGCTTCCTCGCTCGGCCCCATCGCTCGGCCTCGCCCAGCCCCTTCCTTGCTCTGCGGTCGTTTCCTCGCTCTCGACAACGGCAAGACGACGACGACAATGACGATGGTGAAACGGCAACGGCGTCGACCAACCACGACGACGGATGGACGACGAATGGCGAACGAGCGACGCCGACGAAAACGACGACAGCGGCCGACGACGACGAAGACGACGACGACGACGACGACGACGACGACGAGGAGGAGAACGACGACGACGACGACGTCGACCGACCACGACGAACGACGGATGAACGACGAACGAGCGCCGCGAACGATGACGGCGGTCGACGGCGGATGACGGCGTCGACGAAACGGCGAAGAAACGACGACAACGATGACAGAGGGACGACGGCGGGGGAGCCACGCCAGGTGGACCGCTCGCAGGGCGCCACGCGCGCGATCAGTAGCTACATCGACCCGGGCCTCAACTGGGCGGACGCGGCGTGGGGAGAGTTCGGGGTGAGGAGGGTCGAAGGAAGGCAAGGTACACAAGCATGAATTGTCGGAGGTCCGCGCGTGTCTCGTCGGGCGGGACTGGACACCAGTTACCGAGGAAGAGCCTGGGGTGGGCAGCTGAAAGGCGGCTGAGCAAGCAAGCATGGGCGGCCGCTCCTGAGAGTCGTTGCCGCAGCCGTTGCTGCTGTTTTCGATGTTGCCGCCGCTGCCGTCGCTATTGTTGGTGCTGCTGCGGGCAGCTGGGCGCATAATCCACGACGTTGCATGCCGTGTCCGCTGCCCCATCTCTACAGTCGGACCGAGTTATAAGATCGAGATCGGTTCTGGTTGGGTATCCTAATGTTCTTCTTGTTTGTTGGGTGTTATTATGCATCCTGGGGAGGGTATCCTTGGATGTTCTGCTCGTTTTGGCCGGCGGAGGGTCTCATGTTCTTGAGGGATGTTGTTCTGGCCTAGGTCCGATTGTAGCTAGTTTGGCTCAGAGTAGTCCCGCAAGGGGCGAAACATCAGCCTGATACTGACAAACAACTGCGTCGACGTGATCTGATCGAGCGTCTTGACTATCTCAATGTGATCGGCGCTTCGTCCACGACGTTGCGCGCCCTGTTCATTGCCCCGTCTTCACAGAGACCCCAGAGCGCCGATGCATTCGTTGTTCAATACGGGTCCCTGAAGTCCCGACCCCATCCCCGAGGCCAGTTTTTCATGCCTGGTCGTTGTTTGAAGGCCCTGGGGCCGGCGAGGGCCCCAAGAGACAAAAACCGGCGAAAACATACGTTTTGTTTTTTCCAATACGCTTGAGATTTGGGGCCGAGTTCATTTGGCTCGATCCAATAGGTGTCGATTTCCTGGCCATCCGATGCGGCCCGATGTTTACAGCGTAGCGTATCTTTGGGCGCCCGATCCTGTCCCAGTCCGCCTCCGAACCGACGCAGCCCGATTCGATGATCACTCCGACCCGTCGCGATGCGATGCTTGCAGATCCATGCCTGGTCGGGTGCCCCCGCCCCCCGCCACGGGGGTGGGAGTGGGGAGCCCTAGGCCTCCCAGATTGGGTCGGAGTAGATGGGGTCGGAGGACCGCGCCGCATCGCCGATGCATTGGCGATGCGGCTCGATGTGGAGCCCGATTTTCTCCGCGCCGACGTCGCCGATGCACCGCCGACGTCGCCGACGCATCGTCGATGCATCGTGCGGCGATGCATTGACGATGCGGCGCGATCCTCCGACCCCGTCTACTCGGACCACATCTAGCAGACCTCTAGGAGCGGGTGGCGGCAGGGGGCACGCACGCATCTTGCCAGGACGTGCCCTGGTTCAAGACCATCACCAAGATGAAGGCAACGTCTGCTTCTGGGGAGGAGGAAGACAAACAACAGGGAGAAGGATAGCGGCATACATAGAGAGAGAGAGAGAGAGAGACGGTGAGAGGGAGGATGAGGAGGAAGAGATGGTGTCAGAGACGAGCACACCTCAGAACTAGCAGCTCTAGCCATGGTGCGAAGGGAGTGGGGTCCTGGTCCCCGGGGCTCTCCTCCAGGACGAGGACGAGCTTCTCCTCTCCGGCGTTTGCCCGACGGTCTCCGGGCCCGGGGAGGGCCCGAGGTCGGAGGCCACATGCGCACTCTGCCCCACCACAGGGGTGGACCCTGAACGGTGTTTTGGCGATTCCGTGGGCCGTTTTCGTTTCGATTCGTTCTGCGTTGAAGGCGGATTCGAGAGAAACGCGAGGGAAAACGAAAAACGAAAACGAAAAACACCGTTTAGGTTCAGCCCTGCTTTACCCCAACACCCCACGATTTCTGAGGGGGGAGGTGGGGTTCATTTCCCTCGGGAGGTCCCGAACGAAGTGAACCCCACCTCCCCCCTCAGAAGTCGTGGGGTGGCGGGGGAGGGCTCGCACGTCCCAGGATTAAGTCGGGCACGTCCCCCTACAGGGGGATTTGGGGCGAAAAATTAAAAATACCCCAGAAATAGTTCAAACATGCAAACAAAAACTGTCCCCCGATTATTTGTTATACTATGTTTGAAGATTCCTCCTGTAGATGGACACGCCCAGCTTAAGCCCAGGAGACCCCGTGCCTCCAGGACCCTGCTGCTTCGTGGTGACCGTGCGCTGCCTCCCTGCCAGGAAGCTGGCTGCACACGGCGTGGCTGGTCCAGGCCTGAGCGAGCGCCAGGTTTAAGTCGGGCCTGTCCCTCTACAGGGGGAAGATTCAAAAATAGTGCAAAAATAGTCTGGGGACGTTTTTTAAAGCATTTGTCTACCATTTTTGGTATTTTTAGACTATTTTCAAGTGTCGTCCAAAATCCCCCTGTAGGAGAACAGGCCCGACGTAACGCCAGGTGCACGCGTGGCCGCGTGGCTCTCCGGCGCTCGGCCGCTCGTGCCCTGGGGTCCGCAGGCGCGGAAATCGCACGGCGACGCCACAATCGGGAGTGGTCAGACCTCCAACCCTTCGGTCGGGCCTTGTCGCGGGTCCAGGTCCGTCGGTTTCGGTCCCAGGCCGTTCTCACGAAAGGGAGGTTTACCAAAGGCCTTTGTGTCCACCGCCGACACCAGGGGCACGGCCGGCACCCCGGGCCCCCAGTGTTCTCCGCGGCATCTCTCTCTCTCTCTCGAGCCGCCTCGAGGTTCGCCGCAGAACGCCCAGCGTGATGAAGCTGTGGCGCCCAGATCTCATCTGGCGATCGAAAACATGGAGATCAAGGGGGCGTGAGTATTCGCGACGGGTCCCGTTTCCGTGAGAAATATAACGGCTTTCCGCCGCCGAGCGAGGCGGCACCGGCCGTATTTTGGGGAGGGCACCTCTCCCGACCCGTGGATGTGGCGACCGCGCGCCCACGTTTGCGCGCACCCGGCACAGGGGCACGGCTGGGGCCCCAGACCCCGGGTGTTCCGCGGCATCTCGCGAGAGCCGCGTGGAAGCTCGCCGCAAGACGCCCGAGTGTGATAAGGCTGTGGCACCCAGATCTCAGGGTGCGTCAGGAGCGGACAAGAGCACACAGACACAATGAATCGTCGATTCCCAGGAAAAGCTTGGAAAATATGGGAAGTGGGGGGGAAGACGAAGGCCCAGAAAATATTTGAATATATGGGGAATCTTGGGATTCGTGTGTATTTGTTAGTGTGTCCTTGGGTCCCTTTAGTGTGGTTGGGCACAGTGGCCCTCCGCAGGTGCACCCAGTGCGTGGCCTTTTCCTTCCGTTGCTCCACATACGTGAGTCAGGCAGGCGATGTTCCTCGATTCCCGCCTCCAGGGCCCGCTTCTGGGCCCCAGGGCCATAAGAAGAGGGCCCTGGACGGGAGTCTGCCCAAGGGAAAGGGGTCGGGACTTTCGGGGCAGCGGATTGGAAGATCAGATCGGAGGATATTTTGGGCCGTGCAGGTCGTCGCATTCGCCATGGCGGTTTGCGTCGTCGTCGTCGTCGTCGTCATCGTCGCTTTGCGCCGCCGTGCGCGCCAGATCCTCCTGAAGGGCGTGCAGTGCGGGGAGGACGCCGTGCAGGCATACAAGGCCCCAGCCGCACCCAGCCTCAACTGCAACGTTAGGCGAGGATAGGCTCAGGGGGGAGGCGTCGACCCCCCATCGCCCACTGATCCTGGATAGGGCCCCGGCAGCCCACCCCGCCCAGGGACGTGCAGATTCGCTATCGGGGGCCCAACGCAGATATATCGGCGAGGTATCTTCGATTCAGGGTCGATGTTTCCCCTCTTGAGCTAGTCCCACCCTCACGTTCCCCTTCAACCCACCTGACAGAGCCTCTCCTCCTCCCGCTTCCTGCCGGGCGCCTCATCCAATGCCCCCCGTGGCCCCGCATCGTGAGCGCAGCTGAGCGCCTTGGTAGCGCCTGGGAGGGCCCTGGGTGGCCAGGGGGTGTCTTGAACCGGTTCGACTTGCCACCCCCGCCGCTCCGACTTGTCAGCCCTCAGGCCGCCCCGGGGTTCCCAGACGGCCCGGGGGCGAACCCGAAGTGTCAACCTGGCCGAGCTCGTTAGCCCACCACTAGGAGGGGGCAACAAGATCGGCGAAACTATGTTTTGAATCGCCCCCCCTCATATACACCAAAGAGTACCTGCAATGTGGGGCTCGTAGTTATGGTCCGAGGATCTGGGCCTGGCCGTCGGTCCCGCGGCTATGTTTTCGCCAGCGCCGCCCAGTCGCCGCCTCGTCGACGCCCGTCGCCTGGAGGTGGGCGTCGGTCTGGCGGCCCCGTTCTCGCCGTCGCCGTCCCGTCGCCACCTCGTCGCAGCCCGCCGCCGCCTCGCACTGACTGCGCCACAGATTCACCTGTCTAAAAGGAGAATACCCCAGCAAAGCAGCGCAATAGCAGCTGAAGTGTCAAGACGGATATACACCTGAAACGTCGGTTTGCGAGAACGACCTCATCATTTTGCCGACACGATTACGGATTTGATTTTGCTGTTGTGGGCGAGGTTCGTGATGTCGACATGATGACATGAAAGCGCTTGGAGCATCAGTAGGGGCCGAGCGGTCCCATTTTTGGCACCTAAAAAGGTGGGGAAAAAACGATGGCCGTGCAACACTTTCTGAATGTCGGACGGTGGGAATGGTGGGAACCTCGTGCCCCTGCCACGATAGTGGATCTCATTTTGGGAATTGGGAAGGCTGAAGTCGAGCCAGAGCACTATAGCGAGCTTCATTTCTGGATCAAATCTAGCCCGACCATCTGTGTGATTTGAATTTCTGGATGCGCGAGGGCTGATATCAAACCAGAGCGTCGCCCCCCCGTCGTGGAGATTCTGGTGAGAGGCATAGCGAGTCGATTCCGAACAGCCGCCGGACCAGTCAGACGCCCCCCCTTGGCCCCCGCGGTGAGTTTGAGCCAGAACGCAATAGTGACATCATTTCTGGACCAGACCGACCCAGAACATTATAGTAAATCTAATTTCTGGATGTGGGAGGGCTGGAATCGGGCCAGAAGACCACCGAGCCAATTATGAGTCTCACTTTTGAGTCCAACTCGAACTAGAACACCAGAGTGGGTCGCATTTGTGGACCAAATCTGGCCAGGAAACCATACTGAGCGCTGCCGGCACGAGCCGCCGGACTGCGCCTCCCCCGGCACCCCCTTGTGGATATTCAGGTGTAAGGAAATATTTTACCCTTGTGAGAAGCCTTCTGAGCGAAGCGCCGTTAGGGAATAACGGTTGGGCAACATGAGTTATCAAAAAAGTTTGCCCGCGCGTTCTTGCGAATTCTTCCGGCAATCGTAAGTTGTTCCACATGTTCATCACATGCGGCCAAGCGGTTTTTTTTGCGCGCGTGTCGAAATCATTCGAACGCCTGCGCGCGCGTTCGGGGGCGATAATACCAAGTGGGCAACTCGCGCCCGTCGGCCGCGCGCGCATGTCGAAATCCTTTCAACATTTTCATCACCAACACGTGGACATAATCGTCGTCATCGGCTTGATCAACATCGACGGCGGCATTGGCCTTGCCGCTGTCATCGCCATCTTCGTCACGGACATCGCTACAATCATCTTTTTGTCTGCCGTTGTCGACGTCGCCATGGTACCGCGCCCGCTCGACGCACAGACCCGCTTTGACGCGCCCGAACGTCAGCGCAGCGTGTAAGTCGCGCTGGGAAGTGCCCAGCGGTGAGCGTCACCGCAGCCGCGGCGGTCGCGCCAGAGTAGCTAGGCGCTTTGCGCGCGAGCTTGCGCGCGCAAACGCGGCTGCGGCGATGCGCCAGCCAGCGCCAAGCAGCCATCGCAATCGCGCCGCATGGGGTCTGCAACCAAGTTCCAAGTGGGTGGGTGGGATGTTTGCACCATCATGGGAAGTGGTCACGCGCGGAGCACGCTAGTGACATCCACCGCAAAGATTGCACAACTTAGATGCGCCACATAGATTGCACCACATGGATTGCAAACCGTGTATAAATATTGTTCCTTGTGGGCGGTGCAACAGGCATTGCGAGAAACAGTTTTTGGGGTCCACGTTGGCTGACACGCTTCTTTGTCCAGATGCTCCCATGACATGGGCTGCCCAAACTAGGTCGATCCAGCTGGGGTCGGAAGATCGCGCTGCATCGCCGGTGCGACTTCGGCCTGGAGAGTATCGGCATCCACATCCAGCCGCATCGTCGGTGCATCGATGATGCAGCGCGATCTTCCGACCCCGTTTGCTTAGTCCTGGTTGCCGTGGCCCCAGCATCCACAAACAATGGCCATTTGAAAAATTGCATGGCTCCTAAGAAGACTGTTGCGTTTGGACCCCTCCCCCGCCGTCTTAGGGGGCCTCCGCCCTCGCGTAAACCCTTTCGTCGCGCCGCAAACTTGGCGCCCGTCTTGGTTCTTCCGGAAAAAAGGCCAGCCCCACGAAGCCGAAATCGATGAAGAAAACAGCATGCATGTTGTTTCCAGGGACGTCCCAAGTACGGAAAGAAGCACGCGGTCGGCGGCGGTGGACCTGGGCCTTCACAGCGAAGAGATACGGGGCCACGCAGCGGCGACCCGATGCCGATGGCAGAGGACGAGGAACACAGGCGGACGTCCGACGACGACGACGACGACGACGACGACGGCGACGGGGACGGCGACGGCGACGGCGACGGCGACAGCGACGCCGACGCCGACGGCGACAACGACGAACGACGAACGACGAACGACAAACGACGAACGACGACGACGACGATGACGACGACGACAACGAACGACTTACACGACAACAACGACGACGGACGACTGACGACGACGATGACGACGCCGTCAAACACGGTCACCACGACGAACGACGGCGACAACGACGACAACGACAACGACGACCGACGACGACAACGACGACGACGACGGACGATGACGCCGCAGCCGACGGCGACGACGACGATGATGACGACTACGACGGCGACAACGACGAACGACGAACGACGACGGACGATGACGACGATGACAACGATAACAAAGACGACGGACGACGACGACGACAAAGACAACAACGACGACGACAACAACGACGACGATGACGGACGAAGAAGACTAACGACGACGACCACCACCACCACCACCACCACCACCATTACGACCACCACGACGACTACCACCACCACGACGACGACCATGACCACGACCACGATCCGACCGCGACCACGATCACGGACGGACGGACGGACCTACGGACCTACGGACGGACGACGTCGGCACAGGTGTCGCTAGACGTCGTGGTTGGGTGGCGGTGGGGCCCAAGGGTGAGGAGGGGGAGGAGGAGGAGGCGGAGGAGGAGGAGCATGCTCAGGATGGAGGATTAGGAGGAGAAGACGAGGGGGAGAGGAGGAGGTGCAGGAGAAGGAGGAGGAGGAGGTGCAGGAAGCGGAGTGGAGGGGGAGGGTGGAGGATGGACCAATCTGTTTTGGCGCAGGCAGCGAGTGTTAAGCAGGAGCGAGCCTGGGCCCGACCTTCATGAGTCGCTAATTGACGGCGAAAGTTGGCATCAGCCAAAAGAGGCAACGAACTTGAACAAGACCTAACAAACAACATAATGAGCGACGCAGGGTCCATTTCAATTCGACCGTTCCGAATCAGTATGGAGTTCGGCCGGTCCGATCCGATCCGAGTCCGATTGTTGGGCGGTTCGATACACCGCGATGCTCGCGTGGTGCTTCCATGCATCCTGGTGCGGCCGATCCGATCCGATTCCGACTCCGCGCTGATGCGGCCAGGTACGACGCGCACATTCCGATTCGATCAGAGCTCCTGGTTCGATGCTGGTTGATCCTGCCCCCGTCCCGGGGTCCATTCTGACCAGTTGTTCGAGTTGCGTCCAGCCGCGGCAACGTTGTATACCCCCGTGCGAGGCCCAGAGAGGGCAAGCTTGGCAAGAGCCCGCGTCCACCCTTCCTCCTTCCCGGGGACCTCCAGATCTTCAGATGTGAGCCGGAGGCCAACAAAAAGAGCCAAGCACGTACAAGATTGTCCAGTCTTTTTCGAGCACGTCCAAGATTATCAAGCGGCGACGACGGGCGCCGTCGTCGCCTTCGACAGATGCCGTCGACAAAAGTCGTCGCCGCCCGCATCGCTAGATTTCTTCGTTAGACGGCGGCGGGGCCCCAGGGGGAGAAGGAGGAGAGGGAGGGGAGGAGGAGGAGGAGGAGGAGGAGGAGGAGGAGGAGGAGGAGGAGGAGGAGGAGGAGGAGGAGGAGGAGAGGAGGAGGAGGAGTAGAGAAGGAGAAAGAAGAGGAGGAGGATGAGAAGGAAGTGTAGGGGCATGATCTGGAGGAGGAAGGAGGAAGAGGTGGGGAAGGAGGAGGAGGAGGAGGGAGGAGGAGGGAGGAGGAGTGGAGGAGGGGAGGGGGAAGAGGAGGAGGAGGAAGAGGAGGAAGAGGAGGAAGAGGAGGAAGAGGAGGAGGAAAGGAGGAGGAGGAGGAGGAGGAGCAGTTCGGCGGCGGCAGGGCCCCCGCGCGCGCCGGCGTCGGCGGCGGGTGTCCGGGAGGCGGGCGTCAACGGGCTGGTGCTCTCCAACCACGGCGGCAGGCCGCGTCTCCCTCTTCCCTAGGCTGAAGTCGGGCCTGTCCCTCTACAGGAGGGATCTTCAAAAATAGTTTAAAGTTAGTCTGGGGACAATTTGTTCCGTATTTTTTACCATTCTGAGGCATTTTCGGGGTATGTTTTAGTGTTCCTCCAAAATACACCTGTAGGGGGACATGCCCGACCTAACTCGAGGCCTCCTCCTAGATGGGGCCGGAGAAGATGGGGTGGGAGGGTCGCGCTGCATCGCCGATGTTTCGCCGATGCTGCTCGATGTGGGGCCCGCTTTGCTTCACGTCGACGTCGCCGATGCATCTCCGACATCAACGATGTATCGGCAGCGCAGCGCTGATGCATTGCCGATGCATCGCCGATGTATCGGCGATGCGACGCCATCCTCTGACCCAGTTCACTCCGACCCCATCTAGGAGGCCTCTATCCGCGTCGTCCTCGGAGTCTTCTTCCTCCTCCTCCTCCTCCTCCTCCTCCTCCTCCTCCTCCTCCTCCTCCTCCTCCTCTTCCTCCTCAGGACTCAGGACTCAGGACTCAGGACTGACTGCCTCCGAGTTCTTCGAACGCGGCCACCACCACCCTAGCAGCTGTCACTGCTGGGGGAGGGTGATCGACTCCCTGGCGGCGCCGTGCCATCAGGGAGGATCCGCGCTCTCGTCCTCCTGCTGACATCCCCCTGGTCCCCTGCAGGGGGTGGCCCGTGCCATCCGGCGCGGGCGGCGTGATGAGGCCAGCAGCAGAGCAGATCCCGCACGGCCGCAGGGCCGGGTCCTGCACGGGCCACGGGAGGAAAACAGCATGCACAAATTTCCTGACGCACACAGCCACACACACCCACCCACATCACAACACGCACCACACCACAACACAGCACAACACGGCCAACAGCACAACACACACACACAACACCAAACAGCGCACAACACCACACGACACCCAGCACACCCACAAGCACGCGCGCGTGAATGCCATCACTCAGACGCCGTCCGACCATCTGCACGCTGGACGGCCATGCTTCCTGTAAGCTACTTGCCCAGGCACAGTTGGCCAGAGTGACCAGTGATACACGCGAGAGACGATGCTTGCCGGTCGATTTGTGACCTTGTCAATCAGTCTTCGCCGTTGCTTGCCGCGCGCTTGGCTCCAGACCACCACGCGAGTGCTGTCCCACGCAGAATCCAAACGTTCTTTCATGCGACGTCCTGTGACATTCCATTCCTCCTCGTCGTGTCTCACCCAGCCCACAAATACGTCTCACCATTTTCCGCTGTGTTCCATCTAGTCTCTCCAACTGCGATACTGTAAACGGAGTTGTTGATAGGCTGTATAAGACTGTTGGGCTGACGACAGCGTCGAACAATCGACGGCGCAATTTGACCGGAATCTTGTGGTTGAGCAAGGTGTGGCGCAGCTCATGGAAACGCATCCAAGCACACGACAGACGATGATCAATATTTCTCTGCCCCTCGAAGTCAGATCTCCCGGCAAAAACTTTCCAAGGTACTTGTGGGAAGAACCTGTCTTGATGACTTCCACGAACATGCCCGCGATGTCACGAGCAGGGGTGTTGGTCCAGAGGATATTGCGGCATCCGTCGTCAGAAGCTTCGTTTTGAATCCATTTGCCACAAGCCCAGCTTTGGTGAACTCCTCCACAAGCAGCGCAGTCATCTCGACCTCGCAAGAAGACTTCGCAAACAATGTAAGATCGTCCGCGAAACGGACGTTCGTCAGCCGGTCAGCAGCGTCGCCGGAAAGCTGGAAGCCATGCTCAGCACGCAAGCGCATCTTCCACCGGCGCATGACTACTTCGATTGCTGCGTTGAACAAAAGCAGGCTGAATATGTCCCCTCGTCTGACTCCGCGGAAGATCACGAACGTGGTGCCGTCGACAATGCCCACCTGGTCCGAATATATAAACTTCAGCAGGACGATGTACGTGTCTGGCAATCCGAGTTCTGTCAGCGAGCCCAGCAAAGCATCATGCTCGAGCGTGTCGAAAGCCTTGCGCAGGTCCACGCTTAGCACCCAAAGCGGACGATGCCACTCCAAGGATGCCCAGGTCATGCATTCTAGGGCCATCAATGCCTCGTCGACTCCGCAAGTTGTCCGGAAACCCATCTGTTCATCTGAGATTTGCGGGTCCAGATAAGGAAGGATGCGTTTGTGAACCATCTTGGCGAACATTTTATAAACGACATCGAGGGTGGCTACCGGCCGCCAATTCTGCGCGTCCCTCAGGTCTCCACTCTTCGGCAGCATCATAAAGATAAGCTCACTCCAGTCTCGAGGGAAACGACCGCCCTGTAGCACGTCGCTGTACTTTCGCAACAAGATGTATTTGATGGCGTTGCCACCTTGCGCCAGCATCTCCAGAACCACGCCGTGCTTGTCAGCGCACTTACCCTTGGAGAGAACTTTCAATGCGTTGATTAGCTCGTCCATTGTAAAAAGATCTATCTCTCGCAACAGCATCGCGTCCTCCCGTCTGCCAGAGGCTGGTCTGAAGCATACAATTTCCCAAGCATTCTTGCAAAATCTTCCGGCTTCGGCTTCACTGACGTCTTGCGTTGCCTGGGTTCGGCGGCTATTTTGCGAAGCTGGTGGAGGTCCTGGAACTTCGTAGGCTGCTCTTGCAGCCGCTGTGTCTGCCAGCGTCTCAAAGCTTGCCTCGTCTTCTTGGCTAGTTCCTTCGACAAAGAAGTACCCTCGCGGTCCGTGCAATATTTCCGTCGTTTCCTCAAGTCTTTGAGCTCTGTTGTGTCCCACTGGTGGTCTTGAAGTTGGGCCCCGATTGCACAGGAAGCGCGCGCGGCCTTTCTGATGGTGTCCTGCATTTCATGCCAAGATAAATCCCCAACTTCATCCAAGAGGGTTTCCAATTCCCTCTCGTAGGTCGGAGAACCCATCCATTTCGTCGACGATCTATTTTTCCGCCTGCTGGCGCCTGCAAGAGGCACAAGAAAAGCGGCGTAGACGGCGCGATGGTCAGATCCACAATCGAGCTCGTTTGTGGCTGCCGAACCAGACAAACTCAGCGAGGCGGAACAAACTATGTAATCGATCTTACGCTTATGTCCCAAGGTGCTTTTGAATGTCCATTGAAGCTCCCAATCCATATCGTCCTCATTTGCTGAATGAAGAGTCGTTTTCCGATACGAAGTTGGACAGAAGGTTCCCACGAACGCCACAATGCAGCATAGCATTAAAATCACCGATCCGAAGCACATGCCGCTTCTGCCGAGTTGGTTCCGCCATCAGAGTTCGCAGTCCAGCATAGAAACTGTCCAAATCAGCCCTGGGGTACCCAGCGTGTGGAGCGTAGACGCAGATCACCCGGAAGTATTGTCCATTGTAATCCATGTCTACCAACAGATGCTTGCCAGAAATTGTACGGATATGAGTGACTCTGTCAGCAAGGCGCGAATGAAGAAGGATAGATGTACCCAGGTGTCTGACTTGATAACTTGCGCTCGATATTAGACGGTGCCCTCCTGCCAAAATGTCATCGCCATCAGCAGCCCGTGTCTCACTGAAACCGACGATGTCCCAGAAGATACCGTTCAACTCGGCAAGTAAATTCAACAGTCTTGTCGGAGAATTGGTTCTTACACTCTTGCAGGAAACCTTGAAAACTGCAGACGAATTCTGTGCAGGACCGGTTGTGAAACGTGTAGCCGTGCGGGGTGACCCCTAGCGCCACGGCTTTCCCTTGCCCGCTCCCCTGCCGAAGCTCCGATTGAATTTGTCCTCGAACTCTCTCACCAAGTCCGCCCACTCTGCCTCCTGGAACTGCTCCTCCCAGCCTGGCTCGAAGCAGAGGCGAGTGTCGTCGTTCTCGGTGCTCACCTTCATCACAAAGTCGCCGGCTAATTTCAAGGTGGTCGTCTCGGGGTCCTCCCAGAGAGCAGACTTGTTATGTCCCCATTTCACAAGGTAGCGCGTCGCAGCAAAGATGATCGAGTTAGGGATGCGTACCTTCAGCGGCAAGTCCGGCTTGGCCCACATCGTCTCCCCCTGCCATTCCAGCTTTGCCCCCCGACATTTGCACACAACAGTGTCACGTTCAGCGTTGGACGCAAACCTTGCGAACAATATGCCAGTGAAGTCGCCTTTGACAAACGTCTTGAGCGGCATTGGCGCCTCGATGTACTTGAGCTGCCGCGTCACCCAATATCCTGCGTCATCTTGAGAGACCGCCCACTTCAAACCTCCGACAACCGCCACTGTGTCGTTTTCTTGAGATTTGGATCCAAGGTTTGCGAACTTGTCCTCAAACTCGGCCATCTTCTTGTTTATCTCCGTCTCAGATGAAGCACTCCTCTGCGAAGGGGTCAATGAACCATCCCTGGTACCGGACTGCTCCAAAGCATCGATGCGACCGGAAAATTGTTGCATGTCGTGTTTAACTGGGTCCAGGGCCTCCTGCAACTCTGCTCTGGAAATCCCGTGCTCCTTGATAGCTTCGATGTCCCTGTGGATGGGCTGCAAGTACTGCTTGAACATGCCCTCGATCGCGGTCATGCTGATCCCTGCTGCAGCTGCGCCTTTCCCCAGAAAAGACCGAAGAGGAAGAGGCGGGGGCAAGTGCACTTGACCTGGAGGTCCTGCTCTTGATGACCCGCCTGATGTGAGGTCCTTGATGTCTGGTACTTGGCCATGGCCTGCAACTCCGGCTGCAGTAGATCCTTCAGAACCTTCCACCCCGTCCATCTCGTTGAGCGGGCTGTAGACCCGCAGTTTCTTGTCATTCGCGTTCGGCGGCGTGTCTATGGCAAGTGTCTTAACATGGGCCTTGAGTAGCTGCCTGACGGGGGCACTGGGCGCGCGAGTGTCGCCAACAGCACCTGAAGAAGACATCAACTTGGTAGGTACGTTAAGCAGATCGTGTGTGCAGGATTTTCGAGCTGCATCCAGCCGTGGTAACAAGGTGGCTCCTTGAGCCCATTTGTTCTCTTCTGGCTCCTTGAGCCCACTTGGCCTTGAGCCAGGTAGTCCTTGAGCCGACTCCCTGGCGGCGCCGTGCCATCAGGGAGGATCCTCGCTCTCGTCCTCCTCCTGCTGACATCCCCGTGGCCCCCTGCAGGGGGTGGCCCGTGCCACGGGCGCGGGCAGCGTGATGAGGCCAGGTGCAGAGCAAAAGGCGGGCAGCGGTGATTGAGGTGGGGGGGGGCGGAAGGCGAGGAAGGACTGAAAGCGAGAGTAAGGTGAGGCGGCGTGGCTGGCTTCACTTGTGCGGCGTGGTCCTGGCCTCGTCCCCTCCCGCCCCGCAGTGCATTTCCATCACATCTGGCCTACCCCTTCTGCTATCCTGGCCTCCCGCAGGGGGCGCGCCGGTGCCGCGGGCGCGTGCCGAGAAGGAGGAGTGGTGAGGCAAGGGAGGTTGTGAGCGCGGCTACCAGCGGGCCAACCGTTGGTTAGGAGGCCGTCAGCGGTGGGGATCGTGCTGAGCGTGGCCCGGGTTGAAAGTGAGCCTTCAGCGGTAGCGTTTTCGCTGAGCGTGATTCTGGCTGATGTTGCTCCGTTGGATTATTGAATCCAGAACCCTATCGGTCAGCAGCTCGGGCGAGCGAGGGGGGGAACGGGGAATCCTGGTGGACGGCCGCGGAGACGACGAGGCCTGGGAGGAGGGAGAACGAGGGTGCTCAGGCATGAGAAGAGTCAGCTATAAAGGCGAGAGGGGGCAAAGTGGTGCGAAGATGAGCACGGCAAAAACAGCGCTGAGACGCGGGCGTTGCTGCTTCGGACAGAAGGGCGCGCAATTATCTTCGCGCGCGGCGAGGTGAGCAATCGTTGTCTTCGCGTCCCTGTCTGTGGCCTGTCTGTGGCAAGTGTATGTGCAAGATGCGGGAACGGCGCGGTGGTCTTCACGCCCGAGCTCGGTGTCTTCGGCTTGCGTTTGCCAGGTGGCTGGGGTGGTCGGGGCGGTCACTCAGGAGTCCCAAGCCTCCGGCCGTTGCGTATATCAGTGGCAGCTCACCACCGGTGCAAGGTATGGGATGGCTATGACAATTGTGCAGCCTACGTGCCCTCGAAGAAGGGCCAGCTGGTTGCCATGTCGGCGAGCAGCTGCTCTGAGCCGCTGCACTTGTTGCCTCTGTCCCACAGCTGGTGGAAGACGCAGTCGTTGGCAGACATATTGAAGTATTCGAGTCTGTGGGCCTCGCGAGGGAAATCCTGGTATAGCTACTTCTGCGAGCGCTCGGCAAGCTCGAGGTTGTCCCTCTTGACGCAAACGGTGTCGTTGGCCAGGTTGACTGGGAATCGGCCCGTGGCAGGGTCCGCTTCGCCGAGAATCCTCTCTGGTCCGTTCAGGGCGGGCTTATCACCAGGCGAACGAGTCGGACTCGCTGGCCAGGCCAGAGGCGGCCTGATCTGGAGGGTCTGGAGTCCGTCGGGCTGTTGGCGTTGTCCTCAGTCTCTTCCTGGGCCTTGACCAGTGGCTGGCCCTGGTCTGAGGCTTCGGCTCCGGCTCCCGGGAGCTCTTGCCTGCATGGGCCCTGCGGGCATGCTCGCGGAGGCTGCCCCTGTGGCCGCTTCCCCGGGGGTATATGCGGCCACTCGGGGCTTGGCGCCTGCCTCCTGTTTCTGTCGCAGTTGCCCGTGCGGGTGTCGCCGGCCACAGAGCCGAGGGCGCACGCGGGGCGTGGCGGGGGAATGAGATTCGCCAAAGCGCACGCCGCTCTCGCATGCTTCCCCTCTGCGTTCCCCCCAGTTTCTGCTGCTCGTCTGAGCCGTGGGTGGGGGGCTCCCGTGGGCGGGTCCGCAGCCTCCTCGGGCGCCACCTCTCGCCAGCGCCCGCCCTTGGCAGCAGCTGTGGCTGCTCTCCTGGGAACTCTCGCCGGCACTGTCCCTACGGGAGTGCTCTCGGCGGTCGCAGCCGCTGCTCCCGTAGGAGCTCTCGCCCGCAGCGTCCCCCAGGGGTTCTCGCAGGCATTGGCCCCGAAGGCGTACTCACGACGGCGGCAGCCGCTGCTCCCCTAGGAGCTCTCGCCGGCACTGACCCCGTGGGCCCACTCACGGCGGTCGCAGCAGCTGCTCCCTCGGGACCTCCAGCAAAGCCGCAGGCGTCGACGTTGGGGTCGTTGCTGGCGTGGGTGCGGGGTCAGCGCGGTGGTCTCGGCGAGCGGCTGCGCCACAGACCGTTGCTGGAGTCCTGTCCTCGACATGGGCGGCCGTACGCCAAGGTGGGGTTTCCATTCGGTGGCTGCCAGCCGCCGCTGGGGTACTCCATGCAGTGGCCAGGATACTCCAAGTAGGCGTGGTAGTAGCGTGCCTTCGTGGTTGCTGTATTCCGCGGCGGGCGTGTTGCTCCAGGTCCCGGGGGCTACTTGGATGACGATGTATTTGGTATCCTCACGTTGGCACCTCACCGCTGCTTCTGTGGCAAGCCGGCGCCTGCGGCGAGCTGCTGGCCAGGCCGTTGTTGGCCCCATCGCAGCAATCTCTTGAGCCTGGAGATCGCAGGGCCGCCACGCGTCCTCGCAACCCCCCGTCTTGGCGGTGGTGTCGGCGACTGCTCGTTGGCTTGGCCTCGCGGGCGCCATGGCACTGGCGCCGCGCTTGGGCGTCGCCTCGAGCGTACTACTCGCCTTCTCCTCCTCCTCCTCCACATCCTCCTCCTATCCTCCTGCTCCTCCTCCGCCTCCGCCTCCGCCTCCGCCTCCTCCTCCTCCTCCTCCGCCTCCGCCTCCGCCTCCTCCTCCTCGTTCTCGTCCTCCTCCTCCTCCTCCTCCTCCTCCTCCTCCTCCTCGTCCTCATTATCATCATCGTCATCATCATCATCATCATCATCATCATCATCATCATCATCATCATCATCGTCATCATCGTCATCATCATCATGACCAACGACAACAGCAACCACATCAAGGTAATGATCCCCATCCCCCTCATCATCATCATCATCATCATCATCATCAGCAGCAGCAGCAGCATCATCATCAACAGCATCGGCTTCAGCATCAGCCTCAGCATCATAATTAACATCATCCGTATCAGCATCATCATCCTCAATTGTATCACCATCTGCAGCATCATCACCATCATCATAATCATCATCAGATCATCATAGTCATCATCATCAGCATCAGCAGCAGCATCATCATCATCATCATCATCATCATCATTATCATCATGATCATCATCGTCAGCATCAACATCAGCATCAGCACCACAATCAGCATCATCAGCAGCAGCATCATCATTATCATTATTATCATCATCTGCAGCAGCAGCATCATCATCATCATCTGCATCATCATCAGCATCTTCATCATCATCATCATAATCAGAATCATCATCATCATCATCATCACCATCACTTTCATCATCATCATCATCATCATCATCATCATCACATCATCATCATCATCATCATCATCATCATCATCATCATCATCACATCATCATCATCATCATCATCATCATCATCATCATCATCATCATCGTCATCATCATCATCATCATCATCATCATCATCATCATCATCATCATCATCACCATCATCATCATCATCATCATCATCATCATCATCATCCTCCCCCCGCCCGCACGCGGGGACGGCGTCGCCGACGACGCCGGCACCGACTCCGACGCCGACGATCTGGTCCTCCCCCCCCCACTTCCTGCACTTCGTCGGTCTCCTGGGTGGCGCCCCCCCCTAGGCTGCGTGTCCGTCGTGAGGGGGTGGCCTGCAAGGGCGGCGCGGCCACGTCCGCGAGGGGCAGCCGCCCGCGAGGTTGGCGGCTGGCTGGCTGTGCTTCGTTTCTCGGAGAGCTCGCGCGGCGAGGTTTCGAGCTCTCCCTTGCGATAGTTTCGAGCATATCCCGAACCCTACGAGCACGATCGCGATCCTCCCCCCCTGGGCCCTCCTCGCCCTCATTGTCAGGACCATCAAGTGCTTCGGGGCCTGTTCCTTTCAGTTGCTGCGCGCCTTCGGCGGCCGGGGCAGAACGCGTAGCTTCTCTGGTTTTCTGGCTTTCGAGTCTGCGTTCAGTCACCGCTTCGATGAGCGTGCCATCCATCAATCCTCGTCTTCCTCCTTGTCTGGCGCCTCGTCCTCCTCGTCCTCCCTCCTCCCCCATCCCCCCCTTCATCCCTAGTATCTTCGTCGTGAAACACGACGGAAGGTTCTGGCAGTTTTCGGCTTGCGGAGACTCTTACTGGCCTTGGGACCGTCAACCAGATCAACATAAAAAACGGCACCTGGGCAGATGTCCAGACCTCTGGGGAGATAACGGTGTGAAAAGATCACGACGTCGGATGTCCTGAGCTATGCGTCCTTCTCCTCGACCACCCCCCTCCCCAGTGTCCATTTCGATCCGATCCATCCTGTTCGATATTGATTCCGCCCGATCCGAGTCGATTTCGATATTCTGGCGAGCCGATGCGGCCGATGTTTGCATGGCGTTATTGTGAAGCTTGACGCGGCCGATCCGCTTCGAGTTTGGCTCTCCCTGCCGATGCAGGCCGATCCGAGGCACATTCCGATCCGATCCGCGGACCGCTCTTGTCTCCAAGCGCTGGCTCCTCGAGCGCGCGGCGAGAGGCAGCTGGACACCTGCCGGTCTGGCATCGAGGTGTTGCCAGAGGTGATGCAGGCGGTCCGGCCGGCCGGCGGCAGTGGAGGTCATGTTGTAAGAAGCCAGCGGCGACGGGGGGGCTAAGAGGTCAGCGCGTATGATCTTGCTGTGTATATACGTATCTACAGATATCAAGATTCGAATGCCGGGGCCCACTAAGATGGAGCACACGACATAGGAGAGGCCAAAGGGCGGCCACCCCTCCTAGTGTGAAACACTCGCTGGTCTTCTCAGAAGACCACATCACCTGGGCAGAGCCCCCCTTCCACCTCCGCCAGCGGCGAGGGGTGGGGTTCTCAGTCGAAGGATAAAAAACAGCATAAACATAACTTCTGGAGATCCGCACGGATTTCTTGGATCTGCGGTGGGACCCCCTGGTAGCGCCTCTGGCGCCGCCCCCCGGGGATGTGGACCCAGCGCTGATCCAAGCAATCTGCCCGGGCCTCCGAGAGTTCATGTCTGTGCCGCCTCGACCAGGAGCTCAGCGGGAAGGAAGCGGGTCCTGGAGGAGTGGAGGCCTTGGGGGCGTCTCGCAGCTTTCTGTCCGCTGGGGCCCTCCGCTGGCCCCGGGACCGTCCAGAAACGAGTCTGGGTCAAGACGTGTGGTCCTGGGGAGAGCACTGGGGTCGAGCACCCCGTTCCTTCATGACCCCCCTTCCTCTGGGACACGACGATGCACCCCCCCCCCCTAATGTGGACTACCCACCAAACGTCGCCTGGACCTCGGTGACACCGAGCCCAGCCCGCGCGAAGTGGGCGTGGCGCCTGCATTCTGGCGACGCGACGCGCTTGTCTCAGAATGGTGTTCTGGCTTTTGCGTGGGCCACATCTCTAATTGAGAATGTTCGTGTCGCCTGGGCGTCGACGACCCATTGTATTACGCATGTCGTTCTCAATGTGCCGCCGGCCACATCTCTGATTGAAAAAGTTGTCGCCTAGGCGCCGGCGACATCCCTCATTGAACATGGCGTACTCGCCTTGACGATGGCCACACGTCTGATTTGAATTGTTGCTGCAGCCTAGGCGCTGGCGACATCTTTCATTAGGCATGTCGTTCCCGCCGTGGAGCCGGCCACATCTCTGATTGAAAAAGTTGACGCCTGCGACATCCTTCATGGAGCATGTCGTTCTCGCCTTGGCGCCGGCCACATACCTGATTGAAAATCATGCTGTCGCCTGGGCGCCAGCCACATCCTTCATTGAGCACGTCGTTCTCGCTGTGAGGTCAGCCACATCTCCCATTTAAAATGGCGCTTTCGCCCAGGCGCCAGCCGCACACAAGATTGAGACTGCTGATCTCGCCTCAACGCGGGCCACACTCTCGATTCAAAATGCTGTTTTCGCCTAGGCGCCGGCCTCGCGCATAATTGTGATTGTTGTTCTTGCCTCAGCGCGGGCCGTGCTCTCAATTCGGAATGCTGGTCTCGCTTGGCGACGGCCGAAAACATGATGACGAATGCTGTTATCGCCTCTTTCGCTTCGGCGGCGGCCGCACCCTTGATTGCGAGTGCCGTTCCCGCTTTGATTATAGATTGTACCATCGTTGGGGCGCCCGCCACATCTTGATCGCGAACGCCGTCCTCCCCACAAGGGAAGATACAGCCTCACAAGCCTGCGGGCTGCGCAAGCTTCCGGATCGCGGCCCCATCCGAGGTTTGACTCCAAGGAGCCGTTTGTGTTGTTACGCGCTGTGCTATTGGTTATCGTAGTGCTGGTCACACTGGTGCTGCTGATGCTGCTAGTAGGGCTGCGCATGGTGTTGCTGCTTTCCGTCGTGCTGGTCGCAGCGGTATTGTTTTTGGTGGTGATCCTTACATTGGTACTGCCCGTTGCGTTTCTGGCGCGCGTAGTGTTGTTGTTTCCCGTCGGGCAGATCACAGTGGTGTTGCTGGTGGCGCTGCGAGTGCTACTTGTTGTGCTGCGGCTTCCCGTCGTGCTGGTCACAGTGGTGCTGGTGGCGCTAGTGCTGGTGCGTGTTGTGCTGTTGGATCCTATCGTGCCCGTCGCGGTGGTACTGCTCCTTGCGCGTGTGTTGGTGCGCGTAGTGATGTTACTTCCCGTTGTACTGGTCACACTGGTACTGCTGGCGGCGCTTGTGTTGGTTCGCGTGGCGTTGCGGCTTTATGTCGTATTCGTCACGGTTGTGTTGCTGGAGGCGTTGATGTTGTTGTTTCGCGTAGTGTTGTTGTTTTTGGTGATGCTCGTTACATTGGTACTGCTCGTTGCGCTTGTGCTGGTGCGGGTAGCGTTGTTGTTCCCAGTCCTGCTGGTCACAGTGGTGCTGCTGGTGGCGGCGGTGTTGCTGCGCGTGGTGACGCTGCCTCCCGTCCTGCTGGTCACACTGGTAGTGCTGGCGGAGTTTGTGCTGTTGCGCTTGGTGTTGCTGCTTCCCGTCGTGCTGCTGGTTCCCGTCTTGCTGGTTGCGCTTATGTTAGTGATTACCGTTGTGCTGGTCACGGTGATGGTGCTGGGTGCGCTAGTGTTGGTGCGCGTGGTGACGCTGATTAGTGTTGTGTTGGTCGCGCTGGTGCTGCTGGTGGCGCTAGTTCTGCTGCGCGCGGTGCTGCTGCTTCCCGTCGTGTTCGTTACAGTGCTACATATTGTGGCGTTGGTGTTGGTGCGCGTGGTTATGGTGCTTGCTGTCGTGATGGTTGCAGAGATGCTACTGGTGGCGCCAGTGCTGGTCACATTGTTGAACTGCTGCTGGTGGTGCTCAGGCTGCTGTTGTTGGTGCTGCTGGTTCCTGTCTTGCTGATCGCACTGGTGTTGCTGGTGGCGCTTTTGCCGCTGCGCGCAGTGGTGCTCGTCTCTGTCGTGCTACGCACAGACGCACTGCTGGTGGCGCTGGTGCTGCTGCAAGTTGTGCTGATGTTCTCTGCCATGCTGGTCACAGTAGAAGTGCTCGTTGCGATCGCGTCTGCTGCTGCACGCCCGACGCGTGGCGGCCCGCAGCCGCTGCAGCGGGCATCGTCCACGCCAGCAGCGTGACGGCCGCCACACTTCCTGGACGACAGCGGTCGGAGGGCGCTGCCCAGGGGCCGCTGCTGGCCAGGCTGGGCGCCGCTGCTGACTGGGCAGGGCGCTGTTGCTAGGCGCTGGAACTGCTATCCGCACTGGGCGGCGGCAGGCGGCGGGCGCTGGCGGCGGGTCCACGACGAGCCACTACCCCGTCCTCGCGTTCGCCCTGGCGCTCCAGGGTGGCACTACTATTGTGGGCCCCGGCTGGTGCAACTCTCCCCCCTGGGAACGACCGCCATTCGGATTTGGGCCGAGCAGCGGTTGCTCCTGGGGGTTTTGTTCGCACCGGTTCCCAGCGAAGCTTTGCGCGGACGGACGGTGCATCTCTAATCTGAGGCGCCCCCTGGTGTTCAGCACAAGGTCGAACCATCTGGGCCGCGACGCTTTGTGCTAGAATACAGGAACGCCTCCCACCCCCGATAGCCTGACCAGCAGAGGTGTGGGGACGCTCGCACACCAGCGCGAATCACTTGGCACTGCTGGTTCCCGTCGTGCTCTTTCTAGTGGAACTGCTTGTGGCGCTTGTGCTGCTTCGCGTGGTGCTGGTGCTTCCGGTCGTGTTGGTTATAGTGACGCTTCTGGTGGCGTTGATGTTGCTGCGCGCATTGCTGCTGGATCTTGTCGTGCTCGTCACAGTTGTACTGCGCTTGCGCTGATGCGCGTAGCGCTGCTGTTTCCCTTCGCGCATTTCACACTGCCGCTGCTGGTTGCGCTTGTGCTGCTTCGCGTGTCGCTGCTGCTACTTGTCCTGCTCGTCGTAGTGGTGTTGCTGGTGGCGCTGGTGCTGCTGCGCCTGGTGCCGCTGCTTGATGTCGTTCTCGTCGCAGTGGTGCTGCTGATGGCGTTGATGTCGTTTCGCGTGGTGTTGTTGCTCCCCGTCGCGGTCGACATAATGGCGCTGCCAGCGTTGGTATTAATTACTGGAGCGTGTGGTTGTCTTGATTGTTGCCGTGCTGACCGCAGAGCTACTAATGGTGCCGTTGTTGTTGCTCGCACTACTGTCTGCGGTGCTGGCGTTGACGCTGATGTGGTACTCGTCGCGGTGATTATGCTGGTTGTCTTAGAGCTTGTGCGCGCGGTGCTAATGATGGGTTCCCGTTGTGCTGGTCACGTTGGTACTGCTAGTTGCGTTGGTGCTTCTGCGTGTCGTGCTGCTGCTTCCCGTGGTGCTCGCCATAGTGGCGTTGATGGTGGCGCTGGTATTGTTGCGCGTGATGTTGTTGTTTGCTGTGGTGTTGGTCACAGAGGTACTGCTGGTGACGCTTGTGTTGCTCGCGATACTGCTGCTGGCGGCGTTGATGATGCTGCGCGTGGTGCTGTTACTTCGGAAAGTCCTCAGCACAGTGGCAGTGATGGTTTGTGCTATTGCGCGCAGTAGTTTGCCTTGCTACTCGCAATCGTGTTGCTGGTGGCGCTGGTGTTGCTCCTCCTGGTGGTGCTGCTTCCTGTCGGGCTGGTTACAGTGGGCCTGCTCGTTTCGCTCGTGCTGCTGCACGACCGACGCGTCGCGGATCGTCGTGCGCATCCCCGCCAGGGCGCGCCAGCTGTTGCGCGAAGGGTGAGCAGCCGGCGCATGTGGGAGATGGTGAGGGTTCTGCCTTGGGCCGCCCCCAGTGTCCAGCTCCAAATCGAACGATCTGGGCCGTGACGCTTTGCGCTGGAGTATTGGAGTGCCTCCCCCCCCGCCGGCCTGGACGGCAGGGGCGGGAGCGCTCCCGCAGTCCCGCGCGAATCACCTTGCGTTGCTTGTTCCAGGCCTGTTCGTTCTAGTGGAATTGTTGTTGGCGGCGTTTGTATTGATGCACGTGGTGTTGCTGTTTCCCGTCGTGCTGGTCACAGTGGTGCTGCTGGTGGCGCTAGTGTTGGTGCGTATCGTGCTGTTGGATCCGATCGTGCCCGTCACGGTGGTACTGGTCCTTGCGCGTGTGCTGGTGCTCGTAGTGTTGTTGTTTCCCGTTGTACTGGTCACAATGGTATTGCTGGCGGCGCTTTTGTTGGTT